GGTAATCGAACCCAGGTCTTCGGCGTGACGAGCGAACGCTTTAACCACTAGGCTACCCGACCGCTCCCTTACAACCATTTCTAGTACAGCTGAGCCACCAGGTTATGCCATGGCAGCCCCATGGAGTTGTGATTCAAATTTTTAAATCCCATTTTGTCTGGTCAATGTTTTTGTGTAGAAACGCCTTCTGAGGCATGACTGTGACCATGTAACCTTTTCTCGCAACAGAATATACACAGGGATGTATCTAGATCTGCTCAGAGGCGCATATTCGGCCCCAGTTCTGCAACAAATGTCAGTAAATATTCCAAAATTGGCAACAGAAATTCCAACTCAAAATGTTCAACTAATGTTGAGATGACGTATTTCTCTTATTCCAGTAGGAGATTATTTCACGGATAACAGGGCCAGTAATAGTGAGTGAGTTAATTTTAACGTCGCATGGGGATTATTTCAGCCCTATAGCGACGAGAACAAATTGATATATACACGAGTGAGTCGTGAATATTGGTAATGGTAGATGTCTTTAATAGTTTTATGTTATTTTATTTCTGAGTTTCAGAAAATACGATATTTGAAAATATATCCAAATTGTGAACCAAATGATGCCCCACACATAGTCCAACATCAAAGAGAATGAAAAGAAACCAAAGCATAACGTTCTCGGTAGATTAAGTCAGTTAATGAAACTGTGATTTGAAAACCGTGTACATGTACAAACAAGCCAAAATGGCGGTGTGCACTTTAGTTTACATGTCACCCTGGTACATACTTTTGAATTGATACGTGGTCTCGCGATACGAGTACACAAGTGTAATTGGTTGGTTTGTTGTTTAACGCCGCACCCGGCAATATTCCAGCTATATAACGGCGGTCCGCAAAATAATCGAGTGTGGACCAGACAATCTAGTGATTGGCAGCATGATCATCGATCATTCGATGCTGGTCGCGTCATACCGTAAAACGTTAATAGATGGTACTTCTTGTACCTTGGAGGGCGTTAAGTATTAAGGGGATATAAAAGGTATACTGTGGAGAATACTGTGTGGGGTATTCATGTTAATCCGTGACGTGGTATCTCAAACGGCTAACAATATAAAACCGACATTAGTCAGGACTAGTACAAACAGCCACACAGACACACAGATATATAGACAGACACACACACACACACACATATACGCATCAGTCCCTTCAATGATTGTGTTTCCAAACGCACCATAAACCACGCCCTTGACTCAACTCTTACACCAAAACACGTGGTTATGAAAGTCGTTTCAAACATGAGTATTTATAGCTATACTCCTTACAGAGGAATGGAATATAATAGTGTAAGTCACGCACAACAATATACGAACGAGAATTTCTCTGACATCATGGACGCCGTGTTAGTCATATATGTAAGCCCTGAGCCTAATCACGATCGCCCATTGTCGCGCACAGCGATACCCTTCTAGATAACAGGCAACCTCATTTCGTGACTCTTCAAGTACTTTATTCTAATTATAGACATAAAGATGTGTGTGTATGTATATTGATATAAACGTTTGACACAGGCCAGGTTTGAGTTGGAATTCTATCTAATGCCTATTTCTATTGAAATAGATAGAACGCTCTAAAACACCATTGAACGCAGGCAAAGCAGCGAACATGTATGTCTAGACAGTCACTTACAGGCGAAGTTATTATAGACTGCGTCACGCAAGACAGTGAAGTGATTAGACAGTGGAGTGACTAGACAGTCATACATTTCCAAGACAGAACTTCTGCGTTACGAAACACTGGGACAAAACACCATTTAACGCCTTCACAGCAGTTTTTGTTTGTTTGTTTGTTTGTTGTTTAACGCCGCTCTAGAGCAATACTCCAGCTGTATGACGGCGTCTGTAAATAATCGAGTCTGGACCAGACAATCCAGTGATTGACATCATGAGCATCGACCTACGCAATTTGGATACGATGACATGCATCAACCAAGTCACTAGCCTGACCACCCGATCCCGTTAGTCGCCTTTTTACGACAAGCATGGTTGTGGATCCTATTCTAACCTGTATCTTCACGGGTATGCACAGCAGTGATTGGTTATATTGTGCGTGGCTACATTTGACAACATATCACTATGTTGGTATGCTGTGTCGTAAATATACTTCAGCAGTGCTGTAAACAAACAACGCGCCCTATGTACACTGTTATTTCATCCGTGTGTATACATGCTATAATACCCGTAGAATCCACCCCCCGGCGCAATAGTCACCGTCCCTCCCCTGTTGGCCCATTGGGAATATCAAATGTTTACGTTGGAAAACTATGAAATATTAGTTTGACAAATATCAGGCCTGTTCAGGCCTAGCCATTTTCATTCTTACTCTCGCAATATGTGGTCTCATGGGTGATAAAATACATAAGCTTGATTAAATTAGTGAAACAGTACGGGAAAATCCGTTATATTATTTTTATATCTGTACTGTTTTTAACTACATCGTTTATGAAAATCATCTTGGGTCAAAGACTTGCTCATCTTCAAATTTTAGTAAAACGTTTCTTAAAAATTTCGAAAATGTTTTTTTGGGGCACATTTGAGTATTACCTATTCCTTAAGTGTTGTTATAGGTTCCAAATATGCTAGTGTTGAAATGAACAGCCCATACCTCATTCAGAATCTTTTAACGTTCATAATAACGTTTCTCACTTGTTAAATTATGCATAATATGATCCCAAAAGGACCCTTATCATTGCTTGCTTTTTGTGGTCTCCATGGCGAGACAAGTGAGTGAGTTGTATTTACGCCGCTTTAGCAATATTCCAGCAATATAGAGTCGGGGAATACCAGAAATGGGCTTCACAGGGAAATCGAACCCGGGTCTTCGGCGTGACGAGAGAACGCTTTTACCACAAGGCTACCCCGCCGCCCCAGAGGACGAGGCGAAGGAGTGTGATAGGAATATGCTCATTAAAAGAAATTAAACCTTCTGTTTATCCTCATTTAAGTCAGCTCTGACATCAAGAGGTGTACACTGATCTTTCATCATAATGAATAGTAAATAGTGTATTTGTTTATGATCCGGTTTATCGATGAGTGAGTGGGTTCAATATTACAGCTGTATGCTAACTGGGAATTATAGAATTAAATTCACCCCACATTGCCATTAAGCGTGGTATTACGGAGATCCTATCAATATTCTACCAATATCACGACCCCAACACTGCTTAAAGGTAGTCATCAAGGGATCATTAAAGGCGCTGCTTTCTCTAAACATCTTGCTTACGTAATCATGACATTTTGGGCGAACGGGTTTTTTCTACGCTTAAATCCTAACTTATCGTTTTTACACCGGTGTCCCTTGCAGAATGGGGATTATATTGTGACGAAATAGCTCACGTGTTATTTTGGGCCTTCCAGCCTGTGTCTATAGGTCGATGGCTTCCTTTAAGTATCTTGGCTAGACCCACGACCCCCGGGGTATTGAAGTTTTGGCTGTTCATATTCAGCTGAACTCTCTTAACATGATCAGTGTGTAAAGATTAACATGCGACGGAAATCTGTATCTGTCGGTCAGTGTGCCATAATTAGACGCCCGGGGCCCTACACGACCTGATGGTCGGTTACATTATATGAATACTTGACAGGTATGACCTTCCCAGAGGATGTTATCACGGACTATCGTCGACTCCTGAGGCGTTACCTTACACGTTATCGTTATCAAGCTTTGATTTATGTGTGTTCATTATAACACGAGAACGACGTCAATCCACCTTGTTTTAACGACACCTGTTGCAGTGATGTTGTACTGCAGTTTAAAAAATTACAATTCGTTAGTCACCTGTTTGCTGCACGGGATTAGATTAGTTCGACATTGTAAAACTAGGTCGCGCCCTTGCCATTGCAACGCAGCGAGACATAAAGGCGCTTCGTGTGGATAATTATTAATGTCATGCACTGAATGCAAATGTTCATCCTTAATCCGGAGTGATGTGAGTGAGTGAGTGAGTGAGTGAGTTGGATTTAATGGCACTGTGAATAGTACTTTAGTTATATCACGGCCTCACAGTGATCACATTCCCAAAGTGATGCCCTCAGTCAATTCAATTTGATCATAATAGTTAAACCCACGGACAACTGTGTAATCTACACAAACATTACAATCGGGTTAGTCTACAGGTTCGAACCTACAACCAGCTGATCCTACCACAGCTAAGGGAGACAATTCTGCGCAGAAGCCCTTCTGGATCTAGGAATGAATCAGTTCTCGTATTTAACGCTTATTGTTTGTATAGATATCGGATATTAAACCTAATTCAATATCGATTTTAAAGCATGTATGTGTGACGACAGTGGCATATGCCTAACGTCGACTAACGCTTAGTCTCTCAAAATATATATTTTTGATAGAAACAATCAACTCTATTTAAATTGAAAAGGAGTCCCACTGAGATGAACCTGTGGAAAATCTAGACTTGCTTCATTAAAGACTACTGCATTACATTTAGGACTGGCGAAAGGGAATCTAATACGGTTCAGGGTCTGTGGGACTAGTCTGTCAGAGAGACCCTGAAACAAATTTATCCAATACAGCCCATGCAAGTCTATAATGTTTAGCAAGTCTAGATTACAGCAGTATCAGAAAATGAAGAGAGTCTCTGGGCTCCTTTTGATTATATTTTTTTTAGATAATAACTGTTTTTTATGTAAGATATGTTCATTTCAGAGATTAGATGTTAGTCAACTTGTGAGACAGACTAAGGCTAGCGGTGCGGTCACTGTACGAACTGGACAGGTGATCGACACGTGGTACACATAAATCACCTTGTGTCCAGTATCAGTGACCGATGTCCATGTGTCTGTAATCCGGAACCTGGAGCTTGAAACTCGAAGTTCGAAGCCCGAGCCCGGAGCCGGAAGATCTACACTCTTAAAAAAAGAAACGCACAATAAAGGTACAATAAATTAACTAAAAATCTACCTGTGCGTTTCTTTTTTTGAAGAGTGTAATGCAGTTACCTTTCCCTTTCTTTTTGCCTTTCTTGGGGCTGTCCTCAACCATGTAATCATTTTGTTTGCCCTTCCCTTTACCCCTTGGGCCGTCGTCATGGGAGTATGCGGCATTGTCGTGACCACGCCTTCCACGACCGTCGTCGTAGTCGTCGTACCCGGGGTCGCCGTTCCGATAATCCTGGAAGTGTAGAGGGAAATCATGACGCAGAATATGCTGGTTATTTTTGGTAGGAAATGACAGTCCATGCATTGTTCATACATACATAAACTGAGGGACAAAAGAACGAAACCCGAGTTTGTTTTTTATGTTATTCCTGCAACAGTTGGAATACATGTTATCAACAATATATATATATATATGTATATTGATTGATTTTCAAAGATAAGATTATAAGACACCAATCAGCAGTTTATTTTTGTCCCATGCATAGCCGATACATAGTCCATGCATAGCTGATACATAATCCATGTATCACTGATGCATAGTCCATGCATAGCCGATACAAAATCCATGCGTAACTGATACATAGTCCATGCATAGCCGATACATAGTCCATGCATAGCTGAAACATAGTCCATGCATAGCGGATACATAGTCCATGCATAGCTGATACATAGTCCATGGATAACTAATACATAGTCCATGCATAGCTGATACATAGTTCATGCATAGCTGATACATAGTCCATGCATAGCTGATACATAGTCCATGCATAGCTGATACATAGTCCATGTATATCTGATACATAGTTCATGCATAGCTGATACATAGTCCATGAATAGCTGATACATAGTCTGCACATAGTTAGTGCACGTACAGTTCGTGTATACCCCAGACATGATAATGGGGTCCCATGTTGGCTCCTGCACCAACAAGAAATGAACTGTGTGAAGACTAACTATTGTAAAAGATAGAACGCTCCTTGTTTGAAACGGAACTTATTGACTGAGTTAAGAAATTCTGCCATGGACAAAACAATCCAACATACATGCTTAGCATGACAATAGCAACATTAGCCAGAGCTCCAGATAAGCTGCGTATCTGCGTGAAATACGCATCAGAAATGCAGAAATACGCAGTAAAACATAATCCAAGCGTGTCAAATACGCAACGAACATTACAGATACGCTACAAAAATAAAATTTGTGCGTATCATCAAAATATTGTGAAGTAACCCTGCGTATTCGATTAGCAAATCAGCAACTTATTTTGAAATTATAAACGGGCATTCCGTCAACCTTGCCAAACTCCACGATGACAGTCACATCATGATCATTTGCCATCACACTATGGTGGGGAAGTATCGTGGTATTTTTGAGTCCTATAAAGCTCTCAAACCGACACGACACCAGTTTGCAGGGACTAGATGAATAGTGTTTTTAAATATTTAACTTAAATACCCACATGTGTAAAAACTAGTGGGTAACAGAAATTTGAATACGCAGAAAGAATTACTGATACCCAATGATTTTAAAATGCATGGGTAAAATACCCACAACACCAAAAGCTTATCTGGAGCTCTGATTAGCACTACAGCGTTAGAAACTAACATTGTTTTGTCCACTAGTCTGTATTATGTCAACACATAGCAAAACCTTAAATATGGCAAATTTCTACTTTCCCTAATGATACCTTAACTATTGGACAGTTTGGCAATTTGACTACAGGACCAGTGCCGATTTCTATCGTTGGCTTTAATTGTGTCCATTCATCCCACGAGACCACGGTGCTATTTCTTTACCACTCTCAATACGTTCTTTACGCCTATTGGACGCACTATTTTTCCCCCTGTAAAACCCTGGTCCATGCAAAAAGATTGTTCTTAAAAACAGTTCCTATATAACGAACTTTGGATATACCGAAGTTATATTGAGTTCGTTATATCCGGAGATACTTATACCCTGCATGTAAGGAACGTATGATAGGAACGTCTGTACAATACCATGACGTCATTCACAATCATGGCGAGATCAGCAGGAAAACAAACATCTCTCAATTCAAAGTAGATTCTGAGTTGTTTATTATCAGGTATGACACATAGTGGTTAAGCCACACAGGTAGAGTTACATCTCAAGTGTTTTGGCAGGTACCCACCTATAAGATAATATAACTTGTGAGGTCAGCGATATCGATTATCACAGACGTGTCAGTACTATGTTCTTATTGGGGGCGGAGCATTTTATATCCTGGTAGTGAGCGAGTGAGTGGGGTTTTACGCCGCTTTTAGCAATATCCCAGCAATATCACGGCGGGGGGACACCGGAAATGGGCTTCCCACATTGTACCCATGTCCAATGGGTCTTCGGCGTGACGAGCAAACGTTTTTACCACGAGGCTACCCGACTGTCCCATATCCTGGTAGTAATAGCGGTGGGGTTGGGCAGGGCAGGGCTGTGTGTGTGTGTGTGTGTGTGTGTGTGTGTGTGTGTGTGTGTGTGTGTGTGTGTGTGTGTGTGTGCTTGTGCGTGCGTACGTGCGCGGGCGTGAGCTAGAATTTGAGTTAGATACAGGATATATTATCGGTCACTGCTTCAAAACAAATTCTGTGAAAGAGGTGCCGGATAATTTAATTTATTTCCAAACTCATTTTTTCGGTACATGCAACATATTAAAATAACTACTAACTATTTATGGATTTAAAAAATATCCCAACCACTTGAATATCTTAAAACGAGAGGAAACGTGAGAAATTTTTTATTTCAGACTCGTAGTATATTGTACTTATACCATTCACCTTTGGAAACATCAGTCATACAAATAATTTAAGGTAATAAGACACCAACCAAGTATACACGTTCCATACAAACAATCAGTTGAGACTCGCTTGGGTCCTGTTGTAACATTTCGTTCTGTGTGATGGCTCTTTGTGCAAGTACACCGAAATGTGACACGGCGTGTTACGTCATTTCGATAAACCATGACACATCAAGTGGAAACTGCTCCCAATTCACGTCGGAGTTAAATCTGTTCTCCATTAACGTATGGGCCATTTGAGTTAATATTTTATGTGTTGAATGCATGTACGGTAATCAATACAGGTTCTGCTTCGAATTTGACCTTAAGAAGATATTAAATTACACGGGAAAACATGACACCAATTGCAATGCACTTTAGCCACTCGCTCTTTAGCTGTGTTTTGAAATATATAATACAGGCTTCACACATTGTACCCATGTCGGGAATCGAACCCGACATGGGTACAGTGATGACCTGTATGGATAGAACTATGTATGTCAGTTGTAGAGTTTACAGAAACTACCGAATAGTTAGACCAGTAAAGACCCGGGGTGGAATAGGTCTTCAGCAACCCATGCTTGCCCTAACAGGCGCCTATGCTTGTTGTAAGAGGCGACTAACGGGATCGGGTGGTCAGGCTAGTGACTTGGTTGATGCATGTCATCGTATCCCAATTGGGTGGATCGATACTCATCATGCAATCACTGGATTGTCTGGTCCAGATTCGGTTATTTACAGACCGTCGTCATGTAGCTGGAATATTGTTGAATGTGGCGTTAAACAACAAACAAACTAACAAAACCAAATAGTGGAACATATACATCGTTTTTCCCACACTAAAATATGTGTCTGTAATACGACCTGACATTCAGAAAACGTGGAAAGGAACTAAAATATGAAACTGTACATACAGCTGCTGCACTTACATGTCACTTCCTTTATACGTGAACAGACATGTTGATATGGATCAGGCTTGACAGGCGAGGCTGACATTGATTAATAATAAATATTGATGTTGATGATATGGACATGTTCAAAATGAGACATAAAACTGTGTAATATACCCAAAGAACGCGTTACGTACATGACAAAGTAAGGACGTTGTGTCTGTTAGCATTACAACATGGTGTTTGCGTGCAAAATATTTGGGATGTATAGTATAAAATCACCAACATACTGGGTGTGTTTATACACAAATTCCATAAACTCACCGTGTTTACGTGCAAAAGCTACGTAAGATTTAGAATATTATCAACCACCCACTGGGATGTGTTTTTATACAACGTTTAATAAACACACCGTGTTAACGTGCAAAATCTACACATAATTTAGAATATTATCACCCACATAGTCGGATGTGTTTTTTAACTTTTAATAAACACGTAGGGTTTACGTTCAAACACTACAGTATATTTAAAATATTATCACCTGGACACAGGGTGTGCTTTACACACCAATCAATAAACACACGTGAAAAAATTACAATATATTATGAATATCATCGCCCACACACAAGGTGTGTTTTTACTGACAACGTTCAATAAACACACCGTGTCTACGTGCACACACTAAAACTACAGCTGACAATCACGACACACGGGAATGTGGTACTTTATTTTGTCCAGCACTGTTTCCACATGCGTTAACACGACATTTAGATTAAAGCTATCATAACTTACATATCCCGTTGATAATACAATTATAGCAACGAAGAAGGGACATATTCTACATGTATGTACTGGCTTATTCAATCTACAATTATGTTACAGTTTAAGAAATTAAATATATCTCATCCAATCCTCACATATAATTTCATAATTATAACTATATAGTATGAATAGAAATCACGTCACGTTTACATTTTCCGATGAAGTGACCCAGGAATTATTTCATGAAAAGCACTCCCAAAATAAACATCCTGTATAACAAGGTGGCATCACCGTACTTAATTTACATCCGGGTACATTCATGTCAAACATGTTTAGATATAATACATTATATACATATAAATATACTATTCAAGTGATGAGATTCCATTATACACATACACAATGGTATGTTACTCTGTTGAGGTGGTTCCAGGATTTAAAAAAAGAGGGGTGGGGTGGGGGGTAGGTCTTAATTCTGAAGGGGGGGGGGGGGGAGGGGGGGGGGGCTGTGTGTATATATATATATATATATGGGTTGTGTGTATGAGTTAACGGGAACGAGCGTACACTATTAGCAAACACCGGAAACACCTGTAATATAATAATGATAAGTTGGTATGAACAGTAGAACCCTGGCTACACAACGCTCCTTTCAAACAATAACAAAATGTCGTCTGCTCTTACCTGTCGTCTGCTCATTTCGTATCCGTGGTCGCGACTATATCGGCTGTCGCCTCTGTTGGGGTAGTCACCGCGGTATCCGCCACGATCGCCTCTATCAGGGTATCCGCCACGATCATATTGATCGTAACCTCTTGACATGATTCACTTTAATTGCCCTGCACGCCAACTGGTTCTCTTCCGGGTACAATTGCAGGTCTCGTGGTGGCTCGGCCGTGATGAATGACTTGAATGCGGGTGGCGAAATCGATATGACTTATCAAGAAGTACTGGTAACGCCTTTCCTGAGGTCAGATTGATAAGTGACTCCAGATATCTACATATCTACTCGTGGGTAACTCCGTGTCTTAATGTTCAATAACGAAATAGTGAAGTCGACATGACACGCGTGTTATCTGCTATTGTACGTCCATAAAATCCTACAGGTAGATTTACAAGGGAGCAGTCAGTACATTTTTCAAAATAAATCTTGAAATTTTATTGTTGTTGTACAAATAAATGATCGATGTATTTTTATGGGATAGATTTAATCATACATTTACACACCTGTTATTCTAGCATGTATTATATGACTACCGAATGAGTTTGTGATTAGTGAAAATAACCGCTCCCTACTAAATGAGGCCGTACGCTATCAGTTACCAGCACACAAAGCAGTTCCTTGTGCAGTACAGCTGGTTGAAAACAATATGCGTTTCGTCAAATCACTGAAAGCTTTGATGGCCACAGTAAATAGTGTCTTATTGTCCGTGACCTAAATACGATATCAATGCGGAGTGAAGAGAGATCAATTTTGATACGCTTCGATGAGTCGTTACTTTTGTTAGGAATTACCAAGTTGAGTTGAATACCTTCCAACAAATGGGATGCGGTTATTTTTACATTTCCTTGTGTTAGGCATTCAACCGAACAACATGTGTCAGTAAACACCCCATGCAAGTCTATAATGGTTAGGCAAGGCTAGATTTCTTCAAAATCAAATGTAAATGTTGAGACCTTCAGGGCTCAATTCTGTTATTTGATTAAAATACATAAAGGACAATGTAAGTCCCCCCCCCCCCTCTCAGCCCCCAACCCCCTCCCCACCCCCCCCCCATATATTCCTTTACAGTTGGGTATCTATGTGAACGACAGAAAGGGCTGTACTGTACAAATGATATGCTGATTTTTTCTCTTGTCACAGGCTGTCATTTTAGGTAAGACATTCGTTGATGCATAAAAAAACACCCGAGACGATGAATCCTTGAAGAGCATATGTACACTGATTTCTCACATGTCACCTTCCCACAAATTGTATGTAAATACACTTTGTGTATACGCATGTATTCATAAAACGCTTTACAAAATGGTGGAGTGTTCAAGCTCGGCTATGTTCCCAGATCGCTGGGCTGCAGTATGTGTGCTTTGACCGCGTGTTTATAGGTACACACACAATCTCACTCCCTAATCTGGTGTCGTATATCACCTGCGTCCCGCTCTACCGACCCATTGTGGGTTAGTGCGCTGGCATATTTTTCTCCCCGATTGTGTACCGTACTGATCGAAAGTAAGTTGTCGATGGTTTGGTAAATAAATCACCCTACAGTTAGGAGTCTCAAGGGTATAGACAATGTGACTGAATGCTGAGTGAGTGAGTGAGTGAGTATGGTTTTACGTCGCGTTTAACAATATTCCATCAATATCACGGCGGGGGACACCAGGAATGGGCTTCACACATTGTACCCATGTCGTGAATCGAACCCGGGTCTTCGGCGTGACGAGCGAACGCTTTAACCACTAGGCTACCCGACCGCCCCGACTGAATACTGATAACCTTAATATAGTACTAGTGCTTCGAAACGGGTCGAGTCAATAGGGGACAATATTACACTTGGGGTGATCATGGAGTGAGGGAGAGGGTATGACGCCGCTTTGAACAGTATTCCAGGTGTGTGTGTCACCTTAATGTGAGAGGAGAGCCCGAGGTGCATCAGACATTTTACCACTTTTGTGAAATCCACGAGCACGGGTATGGTCCTGTCAAACCTAGAAACATTATAGGGGCGAAACGGTATTCGAACCCACGATAACAGGTTTCTGGCGTGCTCAAGGGACGCAACTCTGCACGGCGCCATAGAAGACTGGGCCACTTGTGCCCTCACTGAGGATAATGGTATGATCAGGGCAACTGACGTTGACACTGCTGAAAGAAAAGAATCCCGTAATCACAGATATCAAGGAATCAGAAGTGTCGCTCTGGGCAACAGAAGGCAAGAATTCTATAAGTAAAGAAGGATCTAGGAGACAATAGGAACTACAGAGCCACTAGAATTTCTAACTTTCCTAAAGCAATAGTTAGCATTAATTGAAAAGTCCATGATCATCCGTTGTATTGTCTGCTGCTTCTGTGTCTGGTAGTGGATCAGTTACTTCAATCTGGTCTATTAAACGTGCCACCACATCCATGGTCCTGGGCTTCACTCACTCAAAACTTCGGCCCGTGAAGACGCCGGGGTAGAATAGGTCTTCAGCAACCCATGCTTGCCGTAAAAGGTGACTATGCTTGTCGTAAAAGGCGACTACCGGGATCGGGTGGTCAGGCTCGCTGACTTGGTTGATACATGTCATCGATCCCAATTGCGTGGATGAATGCTCATGATATTAATCACTGGATGGTCTGGTCCAGACTCAATTATTTACAGACCGCCGTCATATTGCTGGAATATTGCTGAGTGCGGCGTTAAACAACAAACCAAACCAAACCAAAACCACTCAAAACTACAGATATGTCTATATACTGAACGAGAAACCGCTCCAACAGAGGACCCTAGCATCTGACATGAACGTGCAAATGGACAATAGGGGAAAGGGAGGGGGAGTGTGTCAGGATCTCGGGAGGCAAGATACAAAGGGCGCATAGGCAGGTTAGTGATGACACGAGACTTCATAACCCACAAAGCCAATATTTAGCGCGTGCTCTTGTTGATCATCGTCACGATATGGCTGAAATATTGCCGATGTGACGTAAAGCATAAACTCACTCACTCACTCTTGTTGATCACCACATGATGTAGAGGGGAAATATTTGCCGTGGCTACCGAGGGCAAAAGAGCCGAGGACAATCTACACTATTATGGATGTCAAACCCTCGTCCCACGCATGCTTGCCGTAAAAGGTGACTCTACTTGTCGTAAAAGGCGACTAATGGGATCGGGTGGTCAGGCTCGCTAACTTGGTTGATGCATGTCATCGATCCCAATTGCGTGGATCGATGCTCATGATATTAATCACTGGATGGTCTGGTCCAGACTCGATTATTTACAGACTGTCGTCATATAGCTGGAATATTGCTGAGTGCGGCGTTAAACAACCAACCAACCAACCGTCCCGCGAATCCCAAATACCATCTAATTTTTCACTCTGATTCATGTGCCCACCCTGGATCCGAATACTATTTAACACGATTCTCAAAATGTCAGAATTCACTCAACAAAAGCTAAGTGAAAACCTACAGAACACGTTCCGAGGTCATAAAATGGTGCCTTTTAAAGTTATATTATTGAAAAAAATGTTGAAAAAATAATATATGAAGGATTTGTTTTACGTTCAACAGGTCTTCAGCAACCCATGCTGCTCGTAAAACGCGCCCGTGCATGTTGTGAGATGTGACTAACGGGATCAAGTGTCAGGTTCGCTGACTTGGTTGATGCATGTCATCGTATCTCAGTTGCGTGGGTCGATGTTCATGATGTCAATGACTGGGTTGTGTGGTCCAGACTCGATTATTTACAGACCACCGTCACATAGCTGGAATAGTGCTGTGTGCGGCGTTTAACAACAAACAAACTAGCCCTGACTACTGCCGGTTTTTTATAGGTGCCGAGATACCCCACTCAGACACAACATACTGACTACTGAAGAACCTTATACATGAGCATGGTTTAGAAATAACAGTCAGTGAGTGAGTGAGTGAGTTGGGTTTAACACCGCTTTTAACAGTATTCCAGTTATATCGCGGCGTGTCAGCTTAATGTGGGAGGAAAGCCTGAAGTGATGCAAGTCTCAGACGTTTACCACTTTTGTGAAACCCACGAACACGGGTATGGTGCTGACAAACCTAGAAACATAATCGGGGCGAACCGGGATTCGAACCCACAGTCATAGGTTTCTGGCGTGCCCAAGGGACGTACCTCTGCACAGCGAATTGCTCATGTGGAGAATCGAACCCGGATATTCGGCGTAATGGCGGCGGTTGGGTATTCTGGTGGTTCAAGCCCCAGACGCGTTCAACGGGTCTGGGCTCATTGGTGGCCATGGTATTGTATGGATGTTGTACTGCTGGAGGTGAGTATTCACTATTCGTCCGCGGTGAGCACGGGCGTTGTCGTCCTGGAAGACAAAACGTCGACCTGAAGGGTGTCCGTATGTTGTCCCGATAGTTCTGTCTAGTGACCCTTCCTTGCACAATATGAAGTGGGGTTCGCTCAGTTACAGTGATGCCACCCCACACTATAGCCGATCCACTGCCAAATTTGTCATGAGGTTTCAGGCTGAAATGACACGCGACGATTACCCCAGTTTCGACGTTGTCTACGCCATTGGCGTCTGTTGGCAATATCGCCTCATCGCTAGTTCATACACAAACACTGAATGAAATCAAGTAAATCACAACTGTATGATAAGCAGAATAATAAGTTTGACAGTAGCAATGCTCGACAGAGATTAATCGACCTTTCGATTAATCGAAAGTGTCAAAATCAGGAATGGCACCTACGCACGTGCGTGGCGCTACTTCGTGCGGCACGTGCAAACTGTGGGAAGTGTTTTGGTGTTAAGTTTTACAGACATAAACGTTCTTGCATAGGATGTTTGTCGTCACATTTATCTTTGTTCTAATACTTGGAATTAACATTTATGTTTCTTGATCACTTTTTGCTATTAACTTATTCAATCATGCTGTACTTCATATGCCGTTATATGCCAGCTGAAACGCAGTAGTGAGTGAGTATGGTTTGACGCTGCTTTTAGCAATATGTCAGCAATATCACAGCGGGGAACACAAGAAATGGGCTTCACCCATGTCGGGAATCGACCCCGGGTCTTTGCCGTGACGGGCGAACGCTTTAACAACTAGGCTACCCGACCACCCCTGAAACGCAGTAAAGTACGGTGCTGTTGTTCCAGGGACCTATGTCAGCTGACTTCGGTGTTACAGACAACTGTACTACCTGACCCCAATGACCCCCTGGTCATATATATGACAGTGTCCATAAATACAGACTGAGTGTTCTTGAATATATTCATTAACTGAAGTAACCAACGCTCCATTGTTAGATATCTGAATGCTTGTCTCAGAGACCATATAAATATATTATATGGTCTCTGGCTTGTCTATATGGATTTTGTTTGAAAGGTAATGCCGTACAAAGCAAACTTCTTGATGTTTACTGTCGCTT